CTCAGCAACAATATTATGTCAGTTTGGTCACTTACACTCAAACAAAACTGATTTAAAGTGGAACAATTATAGAAAAAGGCCAACAGGATGACTAGAGGCTGGTACCTTTGTAAGAATACACGTATCAAAAGTTTACCTTGAAAGCAAAGATTAGAGAAGGCTGGCTTTTCTAGTCTAGCTAAATGAAGGCTGACAATAAGATTGCTGTCTCTTTATACACCAGAAAAATAAACACAGGGGATGGAATGAGAGCTAAAGGTCAATACTGGCACAAATTGGCACAAGGACAAATGCACATAAGCTTGTCATGAATACACTCAGACTAGAAACTGAAGTTTTATAACCATTACAGAAACCAGGCACCAGGGCAGCTTTCTAAATGGAAGAGCAAAGACAAAAAATAGTTAACTTTTAAAACTGGAGTCCGACAAGTTTCTCAAGAGAATTGTGTGTTTTCCTATGAGAAAGAGGCAGTAGAGCTGACAATTGAAGACATCCCTTCCAGTCCTATGCTCCTCTTGGTGCCTTTGCCATGGTGATATTTACAAAACAAAGCAACAAAAAATCAACTCACTGGTTTTTAAGCATTACAAATATCTGAAACCCCTAGGCTTTGAAAAGCACTCCATTAGCTGGGGAATGAGTCTCTCTAGTGTGAACTGATATGCTTGTGGAAATGTTCTGTTTTCATAGATCTTTAAAATGCAGTTCTCAAGAAATCATTGAGCAAATTTGTTTAAACAATGATTGATTAACTAGTTAATCTAAATATGCAACACCTAATGAGGATTACATATCAAAGTCAAGTCCCAGACTTCAGGTCTTTTGCCATCAGAAAAAAAAAAAAAAAAACCACAACTTTACTAGCTTTCAAATAGCATATTCTTCCTATTCGCCCCCTTAAATTCAAACACAGAAGGGATTTTGTTCGAACTTAAAAAACTCCAAAAAACAGCCCAACCCACAATTGGATAACGACCAGACATAGTCCAAAAGCCTAATGTTTCAGAAAGTAAGGAGTATATGGAAGGAAGGCATTAATGGAAACTGTTTTGGAACTCTAAGTACAGAGGATGATATCTAGTGACTGCTATAATACTGAATCTGCACTGCCATTAAACTTAATCTTCGATATTTTTATTGCAACCTGACCCACTATGACATCTCTAAAGAAAATTACATTGTACACTACTATTTCAAGAAGTCAAACTTAGCTAGTCATCTGGGCCATAAAATAGCAGATTACTCCATCAGGCTGGCTAAAGCAACTAGGAATAAAACTAGATTTACCAACCACATTATTTTTATTAGGAAATGTTTCAAAGCAGACATAATCCCAAAAGACCTCAGCCTCATTCCATCCAAAAATACACAACAGAGAGCAGCAAAAAACATGAACTGTAGTATAAGGTACAATTTGTAAATGCAAGAAAAAAAATTACAAGATAGGCTGTAATATATCATCCTATCAGAGCAAAATAAATTAACTGAACATAGAAATAGAAAAGAATAAAAACTTCTACGCAATTCATGTATTAACAATTTAAACCTTTGTTATAAGATCTGACATGTGTTAATAGGAATTGCTCCACTGAATCCCTGCACATCAAGATTTAGTCTGTAGTCCTCTTGCTTTCCTTGAAATTGCAGGCTAATATAGGTGCACTAAATCACAGCTAGAGAGCAAAACCTCCAGAACAGGCAAAAGGAAAAAAACCAGTATCTTTAACAATATTCCTGAAGAACCGTGGTACGTTAGCACTACATGCATTTTATTTTGGATCACAGCCACAGAACAGCTAAAGCACAGCTTCTTCTGTAATCATTCTAAACAGGGGGAACTGCTCATAATAGTAACAGGAAAAAAAAAGCAATGAATTTACTTGGCAATCTTAACACTTCTCAGCAGTTCCTTGTACCGTCATGTTTTCTAACAGGTATTCATGCATACATAATATATAGGTCTTTGTAGATCTGGAACGGAGAAGAAGTAAGGGATTTGATAACTGGAAAGGCAAGTTTTAAATTTTAAATACTGTCAAAGTAGGTTAGAAGTGTGATGTGTGTTTTATCATCTAACCAAGCATTCGTGTCTTTCTGTTTTAACCTTTTTTTTTCCTAGGCAATATGATCACCTCAGGCAGTTTGGGGTTTGAAGGCTTTAGCCAATGCAAGAAGAAAAATATATTTAAATTAGCTAGGCAGTTGTTACTTTTTTAAAGACTTGAACACTGTCTGTATTTTACAAAGGTGGCTCCATTATGCTAGCTGCATCAAATGCAGAATATTAATCAGACTGTGAAGCTCCACTAATTATGTGCTACATTTAAATAACTTAAATTTTGTTAAGTGTCACTGGCACAGATATTGTATGCATAATCTGACTTTTGAGTCATTTCCCTTTTCTTGTCTGATTTTATTCTACACAGGAAATGACAGGGTCATTTGGAAATAACTGCAGTGAAAGATCAAAAAGGAAACCTGATTGAGAACACTGTATAATTGCCTGTGCTAGAGAAAAAAAAAAATTCCAATGAGTTTACAGCCCATCACTATAAGATTTCTCTGGAAAACACACACTGCGGTTTCTCTGAAAGGATATCCATTAAAACACTGAGTATGGCTTTTATTTGTTGTAGCTGCATCTCTTTTAAAGGAGCAGCTCTCCTCGTTAGGCTGTTGGGCTTTTATTCAGCAGGTAATTCTTTCGGCACACATCTCACTGAGCTGAAGCCATTTCAGTGGAAGCAAATCAATTCTGCTGAAGCAAGTCATTTCACTGACTTGTCTCAAAGTGTTCATTTGCAAAAGTAGATAATACTATAATTAAGCTCTTGGAACACCGTGGTTCTTGTTATTTGGGCAAATCTAGCCATTACAATTTACAGTGCCCTGTTCCAAAGAACAGGCTTTTATTGCTGGAGCTAAAAGAAAACTTTTTAGACATTAATCGTTCTCAGCTTAGAATCAGGATCACATCCAGCTGGGGGCTGTGCTGTGTCTGGAGTGGCCTTTTTTTTGTAAGACATTGGTCTACATGGCAGGACTGCAGTCAGTCCAGATTTACAGTCTAATTTCAGCACACAGCTATCCCAGTGGCTCTCCTGTTCCCTGAGCAGATCCACTGCAGAGCAGGCAACTCCAGGTGTGCTCCTGCCACAGGGACACACACCAAACCATGGCAGTCCCACCAGCTCCTCGGGGTCTGAGCTGCTCCTCTAAGGGACTGGAAATACAGAAGTAATGCTCTCCTTTATGCATAAGTATTTCTAAATAAACAAAGTTGTAGCAAAAGAACTTGAAGTCTATGCTGGATTCACCTCTCATCACACTTTAATACATAAAGCAAGCACAAATAATGCCATAAATTTGTATGTGCAGCTTCAATGCCTTAAACTTGTTACTTATTGAAGAACAATGCATCACCCTATCAAAATAGACTCTAACAGAATATAACTATTGATTTTTTTGGGTGTTGGAGTGTGGTTGGACAAATTAAAAGCTCTCTGCCATGTAACCCAGAATACAAAATGTATTAAACTGAAGTGGTGCCATAGGTAAGAAATGGCTGTAAAGGAGTTATGGCTGAAAACTGTCCTGCAGGTTTTTGTGACAGTTATAACTGTAGATGGCACTTGTTGCTTTGATGGATTCTCTCTCATCCAAGTCATTCCCAGCAATCCATTTCTGCTATTCCCTGGAGGAGGTGGTACCCTCAGCAGAGATGGTGCTCCTCAGCACCTGGGAAGGGCAACCATCCTTCCGTGGCTGGGACGGCCTGTGCTGATCTCACCCACCACAAATGCGTTTTAAGAAAACACAGAGATGTTTCTTCTACACTAGTCTGAAACTGATATGATACATTACCCAAATTTACACAACAATCACTTAATCAAAGCCTCACTAAAATCAATTTTACCAATCAGGAAGTGCTAACCACCCATTGATCCGATTAGCTAATATAAAACACCCACTCTAATACAGTAATTCTTAAATCCTGCTCTACCTATGTATTGACAGTTTAGTCACCAATTGCATCACAATTGGAATTTTAGCCCACCTTAGAAATTATCAGAATAAATTCCAAATATCTGCATCCACATCAAGAAAAGTCCTTTTTTATATTTAAAAGCATCACAGAAAGAAGTTATCCCACATCATTTACAGAGTCCAACCACCAGCTCAAAGTGTAAAGAAAATTTTCCAGTGCATTAATTTTAACGTCACTGTGTAGTGATAAGCTAAAATATAAGTGCCATCAAAAAAATTTTACTACTGTGCCTCTCTGAGCAACCAGTTGTCTCCTAATACAAATTTAAAATGTAAATCTTTTTCAATGTATTGTAACATATATCCTCAGAAGGCACAGTAAGGCTAAAGAAAGGTTTTATTTCACTGATTGAATCTGTCCATTTGATTAAAGGCCACATCCTGCATCGACACATTTTCCTATGTATTTTTTCACATGCAAGTTAGAATGCATGACAAAGTTTACAGTCAAGCCACCTCACTGCCATTAACTGACTGCTTCCAAAATGCACAACTTCTAGCTTGCTTGTTTCTTTACAGTCAGTATAATTAACTGTTGTGGCTACAGGAGAAATAAAACTCTGTACATACACATAAATACTAGGGCTGTGGTCAGACTGGCCTTGGTACACAACCTTTTCTGATTTTGACTGCTGGTTTTAAAATAGAGCCAGACTCATGCATTGCTAATTCAAATTACATGCATCAACTTACAAATACATACACAAAAGTGTTCCTGATTTAACACAACTAACAGCTTAACCAAGCACTGCATTTACACTTTTTTGAAATCCAAAATGAATTTTGAATATGAGGATCAAAACATCCAACTTGTGTTCTTTAATCAGCCATTTTACGTTAGTAACGTAGTAATGTTGACATGAAGTTGCTTTGAGCAATATAAAACATATGCCAGGGTGCACTCGTTAAATAACTCTGCATAATGAGTTCCATCTATATAAATGACTCACCTCATCACTTAACTCAAGTCCTCTAGGACCTTGGAAGAGGAGTTCAAACACTCTATAGTATTTAAATAAGCTGAAAAACAAAAGAATATGGACTGTTACAGTTGTAAATTTTTGAAAAGATAAAAATATTACAAATTTTGTTAAACTAAGGGTTATCCTCCAGCATGGTAATACTCCAAATTCTAAAAAGAGATCGTTGTTTAACTTCAGATACAACACGCAGCATATTTTGTTTGCAGGATATGCTATCAGATGGTTGTAGAAAATATAGTATGATACTTAAAAATACATCCTCTTAGTCCATATGGAATTGAACTCTGAGAAGACAAAGTTCTACTCTGAAAAAAGTAATTCCTGAAACACTTATCACCAGGATACTTATGCCTTTAATATCAGCAATGGCAGACAAGAGGGAAACAAAGCCAAATCAAATTTCAGATTCTGGGATGGGCTGCCAGTCCAGGGAGCAAGTTTGATCTTGGAACACCAAAACAATAAAGAATGGAAGCATTTATTCTCTCAAGGTCACTTAGCAAAATCAGCTTAGTATTTCCTCAAAGACAAACTAAAAAACTCGATTGACACACAGCAGTTTTGTGTATTACAACAAAAGTAACTTTAAATAGACTTTCTCAATGGCCCAAAATATTTATCTTCCTTAAAACATGTATGGCTTTCCTTTTCACATGTTTGAAATAATTTTCCTTGTTTCCTTTTCTAATGATCAATGATATGGCATTTGTTTAATCAGAGGTTTTGTTTGTCACAGTCCATCTGTTACAATTACTTCTCCTCTTAAAATCATGATATAGAACTTCTGGCTTCTGTCACGTCATTTTGGCACGTAATTTAAAACACAGCTCTGTGATTTCATAGCAAGTCCAGGCTGAAGGATGATTTTAAGAGTTTATCACACTCCTGCCTGATGTATCCGTGAAAAGTACAGCAATATTTGCAGAGAGCATCTGTAAGTGGTTCCTGTGCTTTCTGCCCAGGGACAGGACACGGGCTCTTCTCTTAAGAGAGCCATCAACGGGCCAGCAATGCCTCTTGCCTTGGCACCTGCAAGTTTGGCCACCATCAGCTACAGGTTGCCTTCCCCTAAACCCAAAACACACAGGCACTTAATTAAGCTCTTACAATATTTGCCATTTCATTTGCAGTACATTTTTATTGCAGCACTTCACTAAAGAATTCCTGACATGTTTCAGTGGATAGAGAAATGATGTTTAAACAGACTTTAGGACTTAACCTGGAAATTACTCGTACTAATGTATGGAAATACACGTCCCCTCACACACACACCTATTCTTTGCCAAAATTTTAACAGGGACTATTTGAAAAAAAATACAAAAAAAATATTTTATGAACATCACAGAAACACAAGAAATAAGACATACATCTTTCCAACTGCACTGAAAGAAATTAGCATTTCAGACTTTTTTCTTTTACTTATTCCAGTGGTTTGGAAATGAGCAAGATTTACTGCACCTAAAAATCAGGCCTTTTTCCCTTGCCCTCTAAATGTATTATGATATTCTTTATGCACTATGTTACAGGTACAAATAATATATAACATCCCCAAAAATACAAGTAATTTTATTTGGCATTTCTGAATTTTACATCTTTATTTTTAAACATAACTCTGTTCAACCTGGCACCCTTAATGCTCTATCAAGGAAGGAATTCCTCCATATAATGCTCTTTACATCAAATCACATAAATTATACATCCATATTTACACAGTGTAGTTTTCTTTCTTTAGTCAATATTATAGAAAATGCTTTTTTGTTCCTATCTGTTGTGAACAATTAAAAAATTCTATATCAGTGTTTTCAGCAATTACACAAAAAAAAATTTGCTTGTGTAAGTAAGATTAGGAATAGACCCTTTTGTGATGTCATATGAGAATCTGAAGGTGATTAACAATGACACATTTCCCCAGCTCCACTGCTTCCTGAAAGAAAATGTCAAGAGCTATGTTGATGTGTGTTTGCCCAGGGAGACAAGATAAAAAGATGATAACTGTCACCTTCCACCAAACCTGAAGGTGTCATTATAGTTGCTGCACAGTTTGTGCCAACGTAGTTAAGCATTTGTCCCTGCTTCCATTATAAATCTCAGGGGTTTAGAGCTCACCTGTAAAAATGGGATCTGAACTACAACATGTCATACTGTCTTGAATGGAAAAAAAGAGTGCTATAGGCCTATCATTTAAAATAAAACAAGAAAAAATGTTGAAGTGATACATTAATTTCAATAACTCAGTCAACCTATTTCTGAGTTCACAAAGTTCAAAGTACACTCATGTAAGTTTGCTGATTCTGTTCTTATTTGGGAAAAAATATTCCAATGACTGAAATAATGGAATGCATAAACTGGACACATACAACACATTTCAGTGTATGTGTGTATATCCATGACCTTGTAACAGCACACGCTTTTAATAAATTGAGCAGTTTGAACATAAAAACACAAATCTAGCAGCCAAAATACCATTCTGCTGCAAAAGTCTTGTGGCTTGATTGTATTCCTGCCCAGTTAATACTTTGGTGGTAGAAGGATGGAGCATCTAATCTCTTGGATGAAATTCTCGTGACTGTGAAGGAATTACTTCATGAACAAGATATCTCTCAATGGATAATTTATAAAAGAGCTATAGACATGCTATTTGGAGAGAACACTTGTTCCATATAAATACACAAAAGACACAGACAGGAAGGGAGAAGTAAAAGAAGTTGAGAGAGACATCTCAAATGCCAAGTTTCCTTTTAGTTTAGGGCTAGTACTTGGCAGGACATGGGTTTGCCTTGACTACAGAAATTTGAGATTTAAAGAGATGTTCCCATTTCATACGGGAAGAACCTGAAGGGTTTTTGTATTTTCCATGAAAAAGATACAAAGGAGAAAAAATCAGAGAGCAGGAGAAAGAGACAAACTTTATAGCCAATTTTAAGAGAAATTGCCTGTGATGGGTTTAAATCTCCTGTCTGAATCCAAGTACTGTAAACTGGAAGGCTCGTAACTACCCTAATATTTTTGCCTGTCTTCAAGAGGAAATACTTTTCTGCATTCAGGAAAACACTCTAAAAAAACCTTATTTGACGTGTCAAACTTTTCCTAGCAAAAGAACAGTCTGAAAATTCCCAACAAATCTATATATGGATCAGTTATGATCTTAAGGAGTTTTTTATGCCCATCTGCCACAAATTCCCCTCTAAACAGCATTCAGGTAAAAAAATGGGCTGAAGGGCTACAGATGCAGTGCAGGGTATGAGCACATATTACAAGACCAACTTCTTAACTGTCCATCTCCTTGTTCCCCGACATTCAGGGGTGATAAAAGAGCTTGAGAACCACTCTGTCCACCATGCACTGGAAACAGTGGTGTGTGAGTAGAGTCACTGACTTAAACATGGAATTTCATGGAGAAAGGTCTGTACACATTACTATATAGTAGGTGCTATCAGACTCTTATTCTTCTCAGATAAATAACTGAATTACTGCTGTTTGCATCTCTTTCTGTATCTCTTGTCAGAAAACATTTTCATGCAGACAGTGGAATTTTGCTGGTTTTGAAATGCAACATTTTTATGACTCTTATATGATTGTAACCTTAAGTTTTACTTCTGTAAAGTAAAAAAGTTTAAATCACTTAAGAAGTCCACTACAGCTGTCAAGGCCAGACTTTAGAGTTACAGACGAGACCTAAAATTCTATTCGGATGGAATTTAAAAGTAGCATGTTTTAAAAACAAATCAAGAATATTCTCTATATACCATTCTAACTGTTTCCTTTTATTACTCAAAACAAAACTCAGAAGGAATATTTTCAGCAGAATCTTACAGTTTGATAAACTTCCAGTCTAAATTTATTTTCTGGGCTTTGACAACTGAGGCTAGATCTTTACTTGTATATTCTCTCTTCTTTTCCTGTTCTCTCTTCTTTTTAATGGTTTAAGGTTTTATCTGTACAGTATGTTGGCACAGTAGGAACATATCCAGTTAAATAACAGCAATTTAATAATTTTTAATATGTGAATAATTTAATTATTTTGTATTTAATAATAACAACAACAATAATTTTACCAGTCATTTCCCCACTATGTTAAATTACTTTAATAAGAAATAACAGATTCTGTAGCAATAAATACCTGTTAATGAAGTAATCAATGATTGCTTTGCCTTGCTCAATGCTGAAGAAATTCAAGTCACCACCTTGTTCTGAATCAGTTTCTCCTATTTCAGCCATTGCTCTTTCCAGTTCTTTTAAATTATCTCCTAAGGTCATATGTTTGTCTGCAAAATAATCCCAAAGAACAAAAACTAGGAACATGACAAGGTGGAGTGGGGCTTTTTGGCCCATTTTAATTATAAGACTTCTTGAAGTTTTAGTATGAGCCATGACAAAACTTAAAAAGCAACAGCAGTCAAAGATTTCTCTCTGTTGGCATTATTCTCATCAACAGAGTGTCCATTAAAATTCCATCACAAAATCACCAAGGATCATAATAAGGGGTGCTCAAGATAGTACAGCTTGGCCTCTTACCTAGGTAGAGATAACCACAGCAGAAAGATATGAAAATTTGATTATGTTTTAGCTCTAAAATAAATTTACTACTGTTTATGTATTGTAAAATATTATATTTCTGACCATGCCCCTTACAACATAACCCATTAATACAGGAACAAATATTAAAAAGTGAAACCAATTTTTTTTAAGTGCTTACAATCATAATTAAACGTGAATATGCATAATACCCTCCATGTATCATCAAACTTGAAGATATTTTTGCACCCCTCCAGAACAGATACTTACCATACTTTTTTACCCTGGAAATCAAAACTAAATGCCAAAGCAGCTTTGAATTAGAATTCAAATTCTGCTTGTTAACTTTCTTGACAAAGAGGAAAATCTGAAATATAGCAGTGTTTGCTGAACACATAAAAAGAAAGGATTCATCTTTCTGATTTGCACACAGTGTCTGCCATCACTAAAACCACAGGGAGTTTAAAAAACAAAGCTTCGAACACAATTTACTTTTTCGGTTTTTATCTAAAAAATCTACAGCAAAAAATGGGGAAATACACACCACACCAGTGGTGAAATAGATTTATTTTCCTTCCTGTTTTAAGTCTCTACTGATACACTCCTTGGTTTTTTGTACAGAAAACAAATTAAAAGACTTATAAGACTTTTGTTCTTTATAGTTTTGCCCTTTAGTGGTACAGTAATCAAAGGCCTGGAAACTTCACCTCAGTTTTGAGTAAGAGAGGCAGCACAATACAAATAACCATAATGGAGGGGACAAGAAAGAAATGCAAAGAATGTGGAGGAAATGGAAGCCATGGGAAACGAGGAAGAGCAACAGAACCAGAAATATCACCCTTTGTAGGGAAGTGAAGCTACAGAACAGGATCACCCAGACCCAAATCTGTTGCCAGCTCATCCAAATTTTCCCTTTCCTGTGCACACCTGATTTTCAGCCCCACCTACCTCTCTTGGGAAGGCTCTCACAGCACTTCTGTGAGGTAAGGAGCACTTTACCCTCAATGTACAGAAGAGGAATCAAATCATGTAACTCATTCTGGCTCCCAAACTACCAAAGCCTCCAGTTTTCCTTTCTCCTTTACCAGCCTTAAATGCATTTCCACTACCCTCCACTAAATCCATTCCTCCTGCTCCATGCCACTCTTGCTATTGGGGCCAAATCAGTTTAATTCTCCAGGCTGCTTGTCTCCAGGTGCAGGGAAGGGAAAGCAAAGGGTCATTAATATAGAAGACATTAGAGTTTTGCTCTTAATTTAAATGTTTGGTCTGGAAACTCGCACCAGCTGAGAATAGTAATTACAAGAAAATTCATCTCAGCCCTGGGCTACAGCGTATTTTATAAAATGGATTATTCAGGGAACTTAGCTGTGAAGAAAATATAAGAACAGTCCTGTAAGCATTTAAAAACTGCATTTTCTTTCCCTAAAACCCTTGTATTTTAGCCAAATCCAAATGGATTTTCACAGGAACAGCAAAAAGCAAATTCACAACCTTTGTTTGCCAAACCTTATGTCTTTACCTCAAAGCACAGGGGTATTAGAGTTGTTAAAAAAAAAAAAGACACAAAATAATTTTTTTTTCTCCATAGCCTCTGTCTGCAAGCCCACTGAAAGGGATCAGCTGCAATTTTATATATAAAAATTAATCCAAGGCAGACACCGCCATGGAAAATTTCATCTTAAAGAGTTAAAGTTTGGCAAAGCTTTATACAGCCAAGATCACATTCCTGAAGAACTTCAGTCAGCTTTAATAATCAGTTGTGCTACCAGCCTGTCGTGTACACATGCATTACACAGCCTCATAAAACTAATTTCTGACAGGTTTCCATTCTTCCCCATTGTTATAGTAATATAGTTAGCATATGTTAAGATACTTTCTCACTGGAGACAGGAAGGACAACTGGAATTCCAATGATCATAAAGCACGTACATGTTCTGTCAAAATTCCAAGTCAGAAAGGCCCTTGAACTAAATTACAATGAAAGAGTATAATAACTATTATGAGCTTGATTTTAAATATTTGCCTTCTCTTTGAATGGAACTGCTGAGTCCTTTCACTCTTCCTCTGGGATGGGCTTTTCTCAACATAATCACCTTCAAAGTGAATGTTAAGCAAGCATTAGGATCTCTGAAAAAGAAGTTTTAGAGGACACTGCTACCATTATTTTCTGTCTCTCTCATTCCCACTAGACCCAAGCTCCAAGCTTTGTTGCAAATTTCCTCGTAGCCACAGGAGTTCCAGTCCCTTCATTGTCATTTTTCACCCTCGGCAGCAATGCCAGTTTACTTCCCTCACCACTCTTTAGTTAACATACATTCTGTGCCAGAAGTGCAGCATTTGCCATATAGAAAGCTGCCTGCGAGTTGACCTCCAAGGATAAAATAAATGTAATTCACCTGCTGTAATGCTACAGGATGTACTGAATATCTCAAACAGCAGAGAAATGTGCCCAAGGCTACAGTGAGTCAGTCACTGAGACAGCTGGAATTGGAATTTAGGAGCTCCTTGCTCTCATACCACTGTAATTATTATTTATTTTACCACAGCAAAGAAAAGGTCTCTTCAGGACCTGGCCCATTTGTACCACATAGTGTACCAACAAAGAATGAGGGATATTATGCTCAAAAGACTACAGTTTTCTCTAATGAAAGTTTTAACATCTGCCAATAAGAATTATTTTCAGGCACAAGGTCTAGCATGCCAACATTCAAGAGGAAAATAAGTAATTTTACAATTATTTGTAATTAAATATTGCTTTATTAAAATGACTGGAAAACATTCTTGCCTTCCACTTCAGATATTTATTTTACAGTTCTTAATTATACTTACCACTGATGTTCCCCAAGACAAAATTTAATAGTTCCATGAATCCTGAGAGCTGTATAAGACTGAAGTTCATTTCTTTAGCCCACAGAAATCCTGCACTGTAATAATCGATTAAAACAGCTTTTCTCCAAGATGTCTTCAATCGTGTAAAATTCAGAAATTCTTCCAACATTCTAAAAAAAAAAAAAATGAGTAAAATAATGAAATTAAGAAAATAAATTACAGATTCCAAAGCTTAACTTCATCTGTTTGCAATTATATCCATAATATTTGTTATTATTATTTACTATATTATTTATACATACATAACATCCATCATTTCTTGAACTTAGCTACATCAATTTCTAGATACAAACACTTATGATCAGGAGGACATATCTGCTGCAAAAAGTAAACTACCACCTACCAGGTTTCAGCAGACACTATTCAAATGTTAAGATATGACTAATGAAAGAATGAGAATAATAGCCTTACGAAACTGAAAAGAAATACACTGAAAATCCCGGAGAAAAAAAAACATTTCATCAGGAAGTTGTTTGTAGGATGAAATGAAACAATTAGTCTCTACTTTCTACTACCACTCTTTCACTCTGACAGTTTTACAGTAATAATAAGATCATGTTTCCGTTTCAAGGTTTCCATTTCAAGATTATTTTTCCTCTGAAGAAAAATTACATCTGAAAATTAATGCAAATAATATAATGTATAAATACTGAAAGTAGCTAAAATATTTAGAAATTAAATTGCACTTTTGTAATGGTCAAGACTTTTAAAAAGAGCCTCGTCCTATTCACTGGCACAAGATGAAAATTTTTCCAGTTACTTTAATGTGCAAAATTTATGAAAAAACACGCTCCCTTGTAGGAGGCCACATGTGTTGCTGACACATTTATGTCTGCTCTATCCAAACACAGAATTAGTTATGTCTTTTATAATAACTGCGCACATTTTTCCACATGAAGAGAGGGGATTGGGGCTGGGACCTTTCTGCAGTTCTTCCAGTACAACTTGAGCCATGTCTCAGGTAGTTAAGTTTTACATTAAAGCAATCCCTGGATTCTTAACTATACCTGATGATCCAGGTGCCACTGACCAGAGTTTCTAGTCCCCTGTAAAAAAACCAAAATCTTCCCCATCTCCCCCCTTCTCATTCCTTCCTCAGAAGGACATTAATCTGAGACCTACTGATAGGGAACCATTAGATTTTCAGGGGTTTCACAGAGACAGTACAGATACACTGTCAAATAAGATGAGTTTCTTTTTTTAATTAAAGCCTCAATAGCTAACAGAGTAAAGCATATAATCCAATCAGTTTTGTTTAAAACATGTATTCCTTTGTTCTCCATGACAAATTTGTATGGCTGCACACATGCAAGTCGGTTAAAAACACTTAACTGTGTCCTGAAATAGAAGTGGAACGTGGCCAGCTGAACTTTCCAGCGTTTGAAACAGTCCATATCCTCTCTTTCTGAAGCTTCTGCCAACTCTGTGTTTTCATAATCAGAGCTTCTCAGGGATTTAGATTTTCTCTGATTCTGCTAACAAAGCCAGAACTCATCTTTTCAATATTCTGTAAGGCATGTCACTGACAACAGTGTCTGTGCATGACTGGGAAATGATGGGGCACTTGGATTTCCTCGGTACCCCGACTGCTTTTGCTTTGTTCATGGAAGGTGTTCCAGTCGTACAGAGATGGACAGTGGTATAAAACTCCCTGATAGATGGGAATGCAGGACACCAAAATTTTCCTACTGAATGGGATCTATTCTGATTTTCAAACCTTAGCTGAGGCCTTCACACTGCTCTTGCGAATAGACACGATGCACTGTGGTAAACAAAATTTTAATGCTGCTGCTAAACTGCTTAGAGTGCATAAAATACCCTGTAACTATTCTGTTTTCAGCCAGATGCAGTATATGCTTTACATTCCCCTTGTACAGTAAACATACATGTGATCAGCTGAGAATAAGAAAGAGACTATGAGCTTTCAGTGCTTTTCTTTACACTCTTAATGAGAAAGTTTCACAACAAATCGTGTTGTTAAGCACATTTTAGTCTCCAGTGAGTTGTACAATTCAGTCTCCTCTAAATTTAAAGAGACCTATTGTGCAAGAGAAAACAGGAAAGGAAATAATTTTTGTATTATTATTCTTTGACGGTAGCAAATTTTCTTTCCAGTTTTCTTTAAAAAAAACAAAATTCCAGTAAGACCTTTTTTCCTCAAAATCGTGACAAACAGGAGGAGCAGAATGTATTTCAGGAATAATATTTTAATCTCTGTTGAATGGTTACCTATTAAGAGGAACAAAGTTGGATTTTATATCTCCCCCCACCCCTTCCTTCCCAAACTAGACCAGTGGCCCAGCCCTTTGGCTTTTGATGCACTAAGAATTTGCCAGTGGACACAAGCGCTCCTAAATAATTTGGGCACTTCTGAAAAGTTTAATCTTTAAAATATAAGTCCGGAGTCTCAGGCTGAACTCCTGGCCTCCTAAATTTAGCTGCTATTAAACACTAATAACAACGGAGAGTGTTGCTTCAGGAAAGACAAGACTGGCTTACATCAGAAGTCTGTGGCTGCCTCCTATTTCCCCAGTGCACCGTAATGGGGACCTACTAATACCTTCTTAAGTTTTCCATCCCCTTCTGAACTTTTAAGGTATTCTTGATTTTTCAGTAACTCATATTACAGCACAGAATCTTAAACGTTTTATCAAAAAAGTTACCAAGGAGACTCATTATAAAAAAACCCCAAACCCTCATATTGGCCTGTTCTTATTTACACCTTACTATTACATTTAGAGCCTATTTAAAGCTGTTGTACATTCAGAAAGTACATCAATGTGAAATACAAGTGGGAGAAAAAGGAGATAATGCAAAATCAAGAGATATAGGAAATACAGTAAAATAGCCTGGATCTGAGATCAGCAGTATTTCTTCCACCTTTCGTGAATCATATTAAATATTAATGAATTAAGTGAACAATTAAACACTAATAACCAGCACAAAAGAAATCCAGCAAATAGACTGTAATTTTTATTTCATTATTGTATTGCTTCTGGCATTGTTGCCACTGCTACTTACTTTTCAACTCCTTCTACGATTTTCTTCTAACAAAGCAGTAATTTGGGAAAGAGAAAGAAATGGCTTATTCGCTTTCTCTTCCTGTCCACCTACAGCACCCTGATCTTGGTCTTCTTCCTCTCTACCCATGGTATCCTGATCTTGGTCTTCCCTTCCACCCGTGGCATCCTGATCTTGCTCTTCCCCTCCACCTGTGGCCTCTTGATCTTGGTCTTCCCTTCCACCCGTGGCATCCTGATCTTGCTCTTCCCTTCCACCTGTGGCATCTTGATCTTGGTCATCCTTTCCACCTACTGCACCCTGATCTTGGTCTTCTTCCTACAAACATGTATATAGGAATATAATTTTAAAACGTTTATTTTGTTATGTCAGTAACTCACCTAAATAACATTTTTATAGTAAGGAAGCATGCAAGGGCTTAATTCAACAAATGCCAAAAATGTAAGACAGTTATAATTATATGGCAGTAACACAATACCTTAACACATTCTCAGTAGAGAAAAACTGGGCTGATACACAGAAAATACTATTTTTATCTTAAATTCATGTGGGAGCACAATGACATATTATGTGCAGCGCAAGATCAAATTAACTGCAAGTAAAAACAACAGAGATTTAAAGGTGCAAAAAAATCCATGAATCTAAATTTGACCAACATGATACTGGATTGCACAATAATTAAATTTTAAAATTAGTTTCTCCTTAACATATGAGAATACACACATATTACCATGCTATTTGCTCTCTACCCTGTATTTGATTGCATTTTCAAATTTACTCTCTACACTGACTCCATCCCTAGCCAAAAAAAAAGCCCAAGATGTTTGCTGCAACAGAATGATACCCACACGAGGATCTGACACTGCTGTTACAGGGAAGCTCAGTGTATCTGTAATACAGAAGGCAGTTCATTATATGTACATGTTATAGGGGATAATAAACTGAGCACTAACAATACAATGGGCTTTCAAAAAACAGGAATATTTGATGATATTTTATTTTGTGTGGTCACCGACCAAAAAAATTTGAGCATAGATTTTGATAAGAAATCTACGAAATACATAAAACAGTAGGAAAAAGTGAAAACTGTTTCTCAATAGAATATGTAGGTGACAAAGTGAGGTGTCAAAGCACATTATAAAATGTGAGATGAGGCAGCACCTTCAGAGAGGTGCGTGGCAGGGGAACAAGGGACAACGGTCACAGAATGGAGTATTTTAGTTGAAAGGGACCTACAACGGCACAGCATTAGGAAAAATATTTCACTGTGGAAATAATTAAGCATTAGAACAGGTAAACCAGAAAGGTGAAGGAATCTCCACCCTTGCAGGCTTTCAAGGCACAACTGGACAAAGCCCTGGTCTGCACTTGGTGCTGGCCCTGCTCTGAGCAAAGAGGTGAGCCAGTGCATGTCCCAAAATCTCCTTCAGCCTCATGATGGGAGTCTGACTGGCCTGATCACATGAACACCTGATCACTATTTGCTTGTAGCAGGTAAACTCCTACATTTGCAGGACTTGGGCGTTACAGAAATGCAATAAGGCAGAGCTTGCAGAATCTTGCTTCCAGTTCGCCTAGGGAGAGCAGAGCAGATGATTTCCCGATTTTGAGCCTGACCAGCACTGATCTGGGCTAATAATCAACTCACTGTAGTGCTGGTCAAGGAGAGAGCCCCCAAATAAAGGTACACTACTCCCCCTGCTGCTGCTGAACTGCAAGATATACTGAAAGCCCCAGGACCAGCTGAAAACCCACATTTGAACTGATGAAACGCTGAGAGCAACAAAGAACATTCAGTGGACAGACAAGTTTTTCCTCTAATTAAGTACTAGAGCACTTTAACATGTGCTTCAATATGCAAAATTATTGTTCCCTACTGTAAACAAATCAGTCTCAGATACAATGTCTCATCAGAACACCAGGAGTGGAATAAAAGAAGGCTTCCTTCACATAGTTAAGAACATGATGTTATTTTGCTTTTGTTTTATCAGTAATAATTCATGCAGCATGAAAAGAAGTACTCCTACAGTCAGTAACATTGACATAATTGAAGCTACATGCGCTAGCTAGGGAAAAACAACAGCTCTCCATGCTAATATTATACAATTATTGAAAGACATTTTTTAATAACCAGAAAAAATATGAATGCTTTCCCAAAGCAACCAGTGATGTTAGAAATCTGTTGAACATGAGATTTTTTTTAGAAGCTGTGAGAGCTGAATTAAAAGAATAACTGATATAGATGTTTTGGAAGCTGAATTAATACTCATCCATCTCTTTCTCTCAGGATGTTCAATATATAGGATACTTTAGTATTTATAAGGATCACCACTATATAAATGGCATACTAATGGTCAGTCTGTCAACATGGTACTGATGTTGCCTTCTTAATAAGGTAAAACGCTATTATTTTACAAGTATCACCCCAGATTCACTTTATCAGCACAGAATGAGGAACTTAGCACTGTATCAGAAAGAAAAGCATAAAAAAGTTCAAGGCAAAGTATTTTTATTGTCATCAAGGTATCTTCCATCATCCTTTCTGTGGTTACAGCCAGATGTGAGTAACAACTAAGACCCTTCCATGACACTCCCAACCACCTGCATGGTCCTCCTCCACCACTCAAGATCACAGCAGTACCTTGTAAACAGAGGTGCATCAAAAGTCTTTTTTCTCCCACTGCTTAAATCTCATACTGTAAGGAACAGGTTAGTAGCTAAAAACTGGAATATTCTGGAAAACAACTTCCAAGAATCTTACCCAAACTAATTCCTCGGGTATCAGACAACATCCATGTTAGAAAAGCTGGTCCAAAGAGGAATTTTCTCCTGCCCCTGGCATGTACCGGGCTTACTAAAGCATGCAGCTTTCTAACCCACATGGTATGGACAGGCCCAGCACACCTCACATGCTGATGCTGAGGTTCATCCCATTCTGTGCATTACAAAAGGCAAGAAGGACCTCTGGGAAAAGCTGCTTTAGTCTCAGTCTGTATTGTGGTATTACAGCTATGTAATATATATAATAATATATAATAATATATGCGCTATGTATGATTACAAAAATTAATTTAAAAATAATTCCACGTGCCTTGCACTCCGTCCCCTATAATCTCTTTCTACACATTTAAAGGTCCTCTAGCACTAGGAATATCCTCACTGACCAGCTAAAGTTTGCAGTTTAAACTGAAGAGACGGGCAAGCTGTTGTAACTCAGTGTTGCAGATAAAGCTCTATAATCTGCAAATCAAAAGCCAACGCTTTACAGGGCAAGGGGAAGCCTCCCATGAACCATTTCATCCCCTGGAGCCTGGAACAACATTCTCAGCAGCAACATCCCCACCAATGCGTTACTATCTTTGTTACTACTCACCATAAGGATGGGGTTGGGGCACCACTGTCCACTACAACCAGTAGAGGTATGGGATAAGAAGAAATACTGTTTGTTACAAACGACCAATGAAGAACTATGGGAGAGAAAGCACATTGTTTAGAATATTCACTTTTAAAATTATCAATGGTTCTGTAATTTAAAAAAATACTGAAAGTCCATAAATCATTTAAACAATCTTGTGACTGTGGAAGGTTTGAGCAAAACCTCCACAGACACATGACTAAAAGCTTACGAATATTTTGATTTAACACTGTTTTGTCTTTTGATTGCTGTCTTTAACCACCACTGAAAATATGAAGAGAAGCTATTTTTTATACATTTTCACTGGTGTCAAAGAATTTACCGTTCATTTTACTGGTAACTGTAGTGACTGACTGAGGTAATCCAAGGTGAGTTAATTCTGGTAACGCTATCTTCGTGTGTCAGGAGAAAAACTCCTAAACCAATCCTAGCAGTACACGTTCCCAGCAGTAGATTTAGCCTTTTTAAATACAGACTGCTACTAGAGAATTATTTGTTACTGTTTTATTTTCCTTCGAAGAATTTTTAGCTGTTCTGAATGTATAATATGTTTCTGGCCGTTCAATACATTACTCCAAACGCTTTGGGCATCCCCTGTCAACAGCATCAAATCAAAATACCAAACCAGACATTCTACAACAAAAGAACAAGATCCTCTTGGAATCTCTCAGCCCATGTTCACAAACCACCACAAAGCAGAAAATATCATCAGCAGAGTGTTGTAGTTAAATAGCAAACTGAAAAATACCTCTGCTTTTAGGGGGTTGGGAAGGAACTCCCAAAACCCCCACCCTTAGTGAGTCATCCCTGCCTAGGAAAAATGCCCCACTATGTGCAGTTTTGGTGAGAGCCTTTCCAGAGCGGCAAAACCTTGAAACACAGCAATGGAAATGAGCACCAGAGCTCCTGAAGAAAAACTAAGCTTGTCCTTTAGGATGAGCCCTCTGCAGTGGATGAAGATAACAATTGCATGTGTTTGACAATACAACAACCACACTTTGCAAAAATACGACTTCCAAAAATATACACACAAAGGAACAGCTTACCAAGTCTCTTAAATTGTAGCAAATACCTTAAGTGTGAGGAGCCAAAGATCCTCCTCTCACTACCAGGGAAAATTAGACTGGACTGAACTCTGCTGCCTCAGCAAGACACTTGCCATTTGTTCATGTAAAGCTGCCTCAGCTACCTCTGCCTGAGCGACACGGCTGACAGCAGTGCAGATGTACCCTGAGAGAGTGTTGTATATCAGTTACAACTTTAATCAAAATGGGAATGAAAAAAACAACCAAACCACACCAGCAACACAGGCTGTTATTTGTATTATTATACACATTTTGTTATCAAGCTGTCAAGTGCTTCAGCAGCAGCACAAAATCTTGAAGCTGTCTACATAAATAGTTAAAGGCAGAAACAGAAACACGTTCCCTGTTCCTGTTTGTTTTAAAAAGGCCCCACTTGTCCGCTCCCACAATGGGAAGTTAAAATCAATAGCTGCTATTTTTAGTCATAAACATTTCTTCTGTTGTCAAACAAATGAGGAAATAAAAATAGTAATGCTAATTTCAACTACCTTCAAAAGGGGAAATATGCAGATGTGTCAAATGCAAGAGATAAAACTTATATGCAAGGAAAGCTTTCGGAGGACCATTATAAACAACAGACTCTGACAGTGTCCTTTTAATAACAAAATATGTTTCAGAAACTTCACACAGTCCAAGCGTCAAGATTTATGGTTGACCAAATGTATGATGACATTAAATTTTACTGATGTTTTCACAGCTGCAGACCACTTATTGGAAAAAATGTGGTTAAAAATAAAGCAGCAGCAAGATTTGCTAAGATCAGGACTCAGATTTTCTACTATGCTTTTGGCTGAAACTCATTGCAAGTCGGAACAATTATAAAAATATTAAATTTAAATCAAAAGGAATTGTCTCAAGATCTAAGAAAATATATAAAAAAATAGTAACAGAATTGATGTTCCCTTCAGCATACATACAGACCATGCCAAGCTAACTTCAGCCAAAACTGGAGACTACGTAATGTAATTTATAAAAACACACACTTCCACAGAGTTTACAATAAAACAAATCACAAAGGATAGAAGGAAATATCACAAAAGTAAGCTGTTGTGCATAGAACAAACTTCAATACATAAGGAACAGAAAGTGCATGAAGAAAAAAACAATGTTCACTGAATTCCTCTAAAGATTCCTTTTACAAAGCTATGAAGTAAAAACGACAAAAATTTCAGTGGTACATTTCAAACAGACGTACAATATATTTTTGACAGCCTGTCGTTTCCCATCCAGTATACCCTGTATCCTTTTACTGTGATCTGACTGCATTACCCCAGTGTTACGCTGCTCCAACTGCCAAAATATTTACAGAGAACACTAACAGAGAGCACTGTGAAAGATGTATATATTTTTCATAAAGCATTTAGAATACTTAATAACACATTTCACACGGAAGAGGATTTATTTATTTAAGGAAACCTAAACGTTAAGCTTTTGTACTGACAAAGACAAACCATGGCACGGGCTGAAGGTGCTTAATTGCCACAGTAACTTCTTGGCCATCTAAGACAACAAAGCAGTTCAACCAGAAGAAAATTATCTTGTAGTAGCTACAACTATATACAGAGGCTTGAGGGAGAAATTCTGAGCTGATGCAACACCTCATGCGTTCTTGGGAGGGATAACTTTTACTCTGACATCTCCTGACATGCAGCATGAGATGAGTTGCCAGTCAGAAACCACACCTCTGCAATCAAGCCAAAAAGAAAATGGAAGAAAAAAAAAAATTGAGGCTGAAGACTAGGGGGGAAAAAAAAAAAAAGCAAATATTAATGCGAACATTGTGGATTTGCAAAATTCTCTAGAGAACTTCAACTACATAAAGCAATGAAAGGTGAGAAATACAGCCGTGATGTTGCTGGAAGGAAGGTGTGAGGTTGCTTCCACTCCCTCAGTCTTTCTGAAGGGAAACCATACGCCTTTCCCTCAACAATCAAAAATTAGGATACTCCTACTACCATGAACAAGCCAAGTGTGGTGGTTTGACCCAGGCTGGATGCCAGGTGCCCACCAAAGCCTCTCTGTCAGCCCCCTCCTCAGCTGAACAGGGGAGAGGAAATATAAACAAAAGGCTTGGGTGTCGAGATAATGGACATGGAAACTCATCAATTACCATCACTGGCAAAACAGACACAGCTTTGGTAGAAAAAAAATCAATTTATTACCAATGAAATCAGAGTAGGATAATAAGAAATAAAAACTAAACGTCAAAACACCTTTCTCCCACCCCTCCTTTATTCCCAGGCTCAACTTCACTTCCAATTTTCCCTACCTCTTTTCCTCAGCAGCACAGGGGAACAGGGTATAATGGTTGCAGTCAGTTCATCGAATGTTGTCTCTGACCCTGCTGCCTCCTCACAGGGAGGACTACTCATCCTCCAAACTACTCCAGCATGGGGTCCCTCCCATGGGGGATGATTCTCCCTGAACTGCTCCAACACAGGCATCTGCTCCCCTGTAATGTCCACGGCCTGCAGGGACACGGCGCCCTCACCATGGGCTTTGTTCACCACAGGCTGCAGGGGAATTTCTGTTCCAGCGCCTGGAGCACCTCCTGCCCTTCCTTCTGCACTGGCCTTCCCATCTGCAGAGTTCTTTCTCTCACATCTTCTACCCCCTCTCTTTGATCTGCTGTTGTGGGGTTTCTTCTTCCCCTGCCTAAATCTGTTATGCCAGTGGTGCTACCACCATCACTGATATATATATATATATATATATACATAATAATGGCCAGTCTTCGCGAGCGAAGATCCGGGGAAGGTCTTTACACCTTCCAGCCTGCGCATTGGATTTTTTAGGTGAGACACAGTGTGCGCGGAACTGAGCCCACCCTTTAATCCTAAGGTTCATCTGCCGGGGCCAAGCGAGCTTGGACGGTGGCAGCGAGGCCCTCAGGACGTAGGTGGGTTGCCTTTAAGGGCTAACGAGCCCCACCTGCCCGGGAGTGGCCCTGACCGGGAATCGAACCCGGGCCTCGGTGGTGACAGCACCGCGCCCTTACCACTAGACCACCAGGGGCTCCTATATATATATATATATATATATAAACACACACACATACACATATATATATATATATGCTGCATTTTTACATTGAATCACAGAATAGTGCGGGTTGGAAGGGACCCCTGGAGATTACCCAGTCCAAGCCCCTGCTAAAGCAGGGTCACCTGGAGCAGGTGACACAGGACGTGCCCAGGTGGGTTTGGAATGTCTCCAGAAGGAGACTCTGCAACCTCCCTTGGCAGCCTATTCCAGTGCTCTGCCACCCTCGATGTACAGAAGTTCTTCCTCGTGTTGAGGTGAAACTTTTCGACTTTTGGTTTTCGGCCACTGCTCCTTGTCCTGTGGCTGGGCACCACTGAAAAAACTGCTACACACACTTTTCAGCCTTCTCCTGCCCAGACTAAACAGCCCAGCTCCCGCAGCCTCCCCTCGTAGAGGAGGTGCTGCAGAACCCTCCCCACGCTGAAGCTCAGCACGGACGCCTCAACACGCCACACCAACCCCTGACGGGACGAGGACACCGCCCCGCCGGCGGTACCTGCGCCAGCGCCGCCATCTCTGCCCGCCGTCCGCCCGCCCCCAGCCCCGCCCCGCGCCACGGCGGGCTCGCCGCGCCCCCCCAGCCCCTCAGGGGCCCGGCGGGGCTGTGACTGCCACACGGGTGTGACCGGCACACGGGTGTGACCGACACACGGGCTGTGACCGGCACACCGCTGTAGCAGTTATTAATATAATAAATAATAAGTCCCGTGGGGACCATAGCGACACCAACGTGGTGTGTAACAAGAGAGAGCGTTTATTCAAGGAGTCCCAGCTTATATAGCAGTTTCAAATGCTGCCACGTCACACAGGTAACTTCTTAAGCCAATCCCATACAAGCATTCAACAGAGCATGTGTGACAGAGTACTTAGAACTACAACTCCCAGGATGCTTTGCAGCA